GCAGAGACTCTCGGCATTGGGGTGTGGCAGGTATGGGCGTGGCCTGCTTACGGCTGCCTTGCGTGGACCTGCTGGCCTGGCAGGCCTGGACACGCTGTGGCCACAGAGGGCATGTCTACGTATTCCTGGTGCACGAGGCCCAGACGGTGTGTGTAGGTACTGCGGGCTGTGTTGCTGTCCTTGGGCCACTGGAGCTGGCCTTCTGTTTTGTTTTGTTTTTGAGTTGGAGCCTCACTCTGTCATCCAGGCTAGAGTACAGTGGCATGCTCATGGCCACCGCAGCCTCGACCTGCTGGACACAGGTGACCCTTCTGCCTCAGCCTCCTGAGTAGCTGGGACTACAGGAGCGTACCACCATATCCAGCTAATTTTTTGATTTATTGTAGAGATGAGGTCTAGCCAAGTTACTCAGGCTGGTCTTGAACCACTGGACTCAAGCAATCCTTTCACCTCTGTCTCCCAAAGGGCTGGGATGACAGATGTGAGCCACCATACCCGGCTTGGCCCTCTTGTTTTAACCCTGTCTCTTCCAGCAAATGGAAAACCCCAGGGCTTGCAGACTGACTCCTGTGGACATATTTGGCCAGCCACCCTGTCCCTGGTCCCCTCTAGATGCTAATCAGCACTGTCTTCTCAGAATTGAGGCTCCAACCCTTCCACCCCATTCACTTCTGTCTCCATTTGCAGGTGGTGGCCTCCTCACCACAGCCCCCACCCATGACATCTTTGGGATGACTCTGACTTGGGGGGGGGTCATTATGAAACCCTCCCCACTAGGGCCTCGGGGCCAGCAGTTCTGCTCGAGGTCTTACTTCAGTTCCTCTGCTCTTTCTAGTGTCTAGGAGGAGACTTGCAGTTGATCCCCACCTTGCAGGAAACTTGTTTGGTTTTTTTTTTTGAATCGGAGTCTTCACTCTATCACCTGGCTGGAGTACAGTGGCACGCTGTGGCCACCGTAGCCTCGACCCGCTGTGCTCAGGCAGTCCTTCCGCCTCAGCCTTCCAAGTAGCTGGAACTACAGGCGCGTGCCACCACGCCTGGGTAATTTTTTCTTTTATTGTAGAGATGTGGTCTCGCCAAGTTGCCCAGGCCGGTTTTGAACCCCTGGGCTCAGGAAAGCCTCTCGCCTCTGCCTCCCAAAGTGTTGGGATAACAGGCATGAACCACCACGCCCGGCCGCCTGGAACTGTTGAAGGGAGCTTCCTCCGCTGTGGGTGGCCCTAGCAGTGTGGGGACCAGCCCCCAGCCTTAGCCCTGTGTTCGTCATGGACCGTGTCTGTTGCCAGCTGCAGGCACCTGTGTTTGCCTTTCTTAGTCTGCTTGCCTCCTGCTGTGATCCTGGACTGACCTGGGTGGCCAGAACTCAGGGGAGTGTGGGGACTGGGGCAGGGGCAAGGGCAGGAGCCCCCCCGCTAGAAGCCCCTGGGTCTAGGACAGTGAGAGTAGCTTACGGAGAAAAGGGCTTGCCAAGGTTACCCAGCAAGTCAGCAGCAGGGCAAGAGCCCGGTGTGTCCCACCTTGGTTGAGTTCTCTCCAAACCCCAAGTCCTGCCTCTACAATTGGTGGCCCAGATGGAGGTCACCTGTTTACAGGTATCTCTGGTGCAGGGTAGTGTGGGTGGCCAGAGAACATGCTGGGCAGGTGGGTGGTTTGTGGCTAGTGTGTCAGCCAACTGGTGGGGACATATGTGGAAGGAAGTCCCAGGAGGCGATTGGTTTCTCTCTTTTTTGAATTGAGGTCTCACTCTGTTGCCTAGGCTGGAGTGCAATGGTGCAGTCACTGCAGTCTCGATCTCCTGGGCTCGCATGATCCTCCCACTTCAATCCCCCGAGTAGCTGGGACTATAGGCATGAACCACCATGTCCAGCTAACTTTTGATTTTTTTTTTTTTTTTGAGTCGGAGTCTCACTCTGTTGCCCAGACTGGAGTGCAGTGGCCGCTCCCGGCCACCGCAGCCTCGACCTGCTGGGCTCTGGCGATCCTTCCGCCTCAGCCTTCCAAGTAGCTGGAATTACAGGCGCGCGCTACCATGCCCAGGTCATTTTTAAAAAAATATATTGTAGAGATGAGGTCTCGCCAAGTTGCCCAGGTGGGTCTCGAACCTGTGGCCTCAGGGAATCCACTCACCTCGGCCTCCCAAAGTGCTGGGATTACAGGCTGAGCCACCAAGCCCGGCCTTGACTTTTTTTTTGAGTTGGAGTCTCACTCTATCACCCAGGCTGGAGCACAGTGGCCACCGCAGCCTCGACCTGCTGGGCTCTGGTGATTCTTCTGCCTCAGCTGTCCAAGTAGCTGGAACCACAGGCGCAGGCCACTGCACCTGGCAAATTTTTATTTTTATTTTTTTTAGTTGGAGTTTCACTCTGTTGCCCAGACTGGAGTGCAATGGCCGCTCCCGGCCACCACAGCCTCTATCTGCTGGGCACCGGCGATCCTTCTGCCTCAGCCTTCCAAGTAGCTGGAACTACAGGTGCGCGCTACCACGCTTAATTTTTTTGATTTATTGTGGAGATGAGGTCTTGCCAAGTTGCCCAGGCTGGTCTTGAATCCATGGACTCAGGTAATCCTCTTACCTCGGCCTCCCAAAGTGCTGGACTTATAGGCGTGAACCATTGCGCCCGGCCTAATTTTTTGATTTTTTTGGTAGATATAGGGTCTCGCTATATTGCCCAGGCTGCTCTAGAGTCCTCCCTGGGCTCAAGCAGTCCTCCCTCCTTGGCTTCCCGAAGTGCTGGGATTATAGGTGTGAGTCACCAGAGATGGGGCTCTTATCTGGGGGCGGCCTGTGAGTCAGGGATCTGTGGCGCGATATGGTCCCCAGAGCCAAATATGGCCAGACCTTGGGCTTCTGTTTGCGGGAGCCGCCCACCAGTCCCTGACATAATTGGGATCCGTATGGACCCCCAGCCATTTCTCACACCAGCACATCCACTTAAACCCCCCAGGCGTTCCTCAGGCCTCAGGCCTTCCTCTTCTATAGCCGGTCTGCTGGGGGACCTTGCGAGGCTGGTAGGGGAAGAGGCCTGAGTTCTAGTCCCAGCCTGGCTTCAGCGCCTGCGGTGACATTTGTTTATTTAACAAATATTTATGGAGCACCACCTACTCTTCTAGGAGCCTGAGGTAAATCAGTGAACAAAAGGGACCCCAAACTCCCTCTCCTCATGGAGAAATAGCAGAGAGGGAAGACAGTGAGCCAAGCGATACATACATTGATTCTGTAGACCATTCAGGGAGGAGGACCTGGCGCCAGGCCGCTGTGTCCTCCTCTGAAATGCGAGGGCTGGACCGGCCTGTCCTGGAGTGCCTGCAGGCTTGGCTCTGGGCTGCCCTGGTTCCCGCCACCCCCACGCCAGCCCTCTTACTGAGACCGGGACACTGGGCTGTCCTAGGCCTGGAGATGGCGAGGCTTCCGCTCAGCATGCCAGGCTCTCAAGACCTGGAGTGCAAACCCCAGCCCCACCGCTCACTGCCACACTGTTTTAACCCCTCTGACCTTGGTTCTCCCATCTGTCAAAGGAGAATGTTGACAGGACTAGGAAGCCACGGAAGGGTAGCTGTGAGCATTTGATGAATTAGATGCAAAGCCCTTAGCATGGGGCTTAACTGTTGTTACTGCAGGCTGGTTGTCGCTAATCTGAAATCTGAAGTGCTCCAAGATCCAAAACTTTTTGAGCACCGACATGACCTCACAAGTGGAAAACTCCACACTTCACCCAGTGTCATGGGTCACGGTCAAGGCCGGGCGTGGTGGCTCATGCCTGTAATCTCTGCACTTTGGGAGGCCAAGGTAGGAGGATGAGGATTGCTTGAGTCCAGGAATTCAAGACCAGCCTGGGCAACAGAGTGAGACCCGTCTCTACAAAAATAAAAATATTAGCTGGATGTAGTGGCATGTGCCTGTAGTCCTAGATACTCAGGAGGCTGAGGTGGGAGCCCAGGACGTTGAGGCTGTGGTGAGCCCTGATCGTGCTACTGCACTCCAGCCTGGGCATCAGAGTGAAACTCTTGACTCCAAAAAAACCCATAAAAATATAAATTAATTTTGTGTTTAGACTTGGGTTCCTTCCCCAAGATATCCTATGATGTATTTGCAGATACTCCAAAATTGAAAAAGTCCGAAATCCAAAACACTTCTGGTTCTGAGCATTTTGGATCAGGGACCGCAGGCGACCACCTTTCTGGCCTCAAGCTGGGCGTGGTGCCTCAAGCCTGTAATCCCAGCACTTTGGGAGGCCTGAGCTCAGGGGTTCGAGATTAGCCTGGGCAACTTGATCAGACCTCATCTCCACAATAAATAAAAAATAAGCCTGGGCATGGTAGCGCGTGTCTGTGGTTTCAGCTACTTGGAAGGCTGAGGCGGAAGGATCACTTGAGCCCAGCACGTCAAGGCTTTGGTGGCCATGATTGTGTCACTGCATTCCAGCCTGGGTGACAGAGTGAGACTACAACTCAAAAAAAAAAAGAAAAGAAACATCACTTTGGCTGTGTGTATTTTCTCCTTCACCACCTCTTCCAGGAAGTCCCCCTGGATATGCGTGTCCCCCTTGCCTCCTGTCTCCCCCTTGCTTTCCTCTGCATGGTTGGTCTCCATTTCTGAACTTAGTGTACTCCCGACCCAGTGCCCACCTTCTCCCAGTCTGGCCCAGTCTCCTCGGCCTCCCTGTGCGGTGGACCCCAAGGCCCAGATTATCCCCAAGTAAGGGTAGCCCACAGCCCTCAGAGAGTGCTCCAGGAGCCTTCCTCTGGCTCAGGACAGTTCTCCCTGGCCTGCTGACCACTCAGGCCCGCTCTCTTCCCAGGTCAGCCAGCCCAGGCTGAGTCTGAGGAGCCCTTGGCTCCCCTTGGCCCTGACAGTGGACTCTGTCTTCCTGCTGCCGGCCTGGGCGGGGCGGTTGCCCTGGCACGAGAGGAAGTTCCCAGGAGAGAGCCAGAGCTCTGAGAAGCCCACCGCCTCCTGCCCTTTGCCCAGAATGACCCCACTCTGCTCTTCTGTCCCGCAGACACTACCCCAAGCAGTCCTTCACCATGGTGGCCGACACCCCAGAAAACCTTCGCCTCAAGCAACAGAGCGAGCTCCAGAGTCAGGTGAGGGCCAGCACGCCGGGCTGGTGGGGAGGGCTGTCGCAACCCTCCATTGAGCAAGGGCTGCTTCCCCTGTGGGTGGCTGCAAGGCCAAGGTGCTGCAATCCTGGCACCCGCCCGGGCTCCGCCCCGCCCTCATGCCCGGTTACATGTTTCCTGGCTTCAGAGGAGAGACGAAAGCTGCCCCTGCTTCCTGCTGCAGTGGCGTGGGGAGGTGTGGGTGTCTGTCTGGTTCTGCTCTGGGCTGCCTACAGCCCGCCACCTCCAGGAAGCTGTTCTGTTTCTCCTCTCCACAAAGTGGCCACCCACCCAGGGGGCATCTGGGGGAGATCAGGGAACGCGTCTCTCCAGGCTCATGCTGGGCTGAGGCTGTGCGGTCGCCCCTGTGCAGCCACATCCCCCAACCTTCTTCTCCACCTGATGAGGGGGCCTTGGCAGGGAGGGGTGGGACCTGTCCCCGCCTCTGTCCCGGGGCCTAACTTAACGGAGCTCTGCTGGGAGGGGGGAGGAGACAAGCTCCCAGCCTGGGGAGAGCTTGGTCTTTAGGGGACACTGAGGCATAAGCAAAGGGTCATGAGCCCTGAGATCAGGACAACGAACCCTGCCCGGGGCTTGGGAGGGCTTCTGGGACAATCCTGGCCTGTAGTGGGGTGAGGTGGAGTGGGGCCTCTGCGTGGATTAAAGGAATGAGTGAATACATGTGGGGGACTGCACTGTGTGGGCGGGGTGTCCAGGATCCAGAAAATACCAAGGGACCACCTGGGCCTCAGAGGGAAATCTCTCCAGATCCTTCTGAGCTGGGCTCCTGCTGCCTGGTCTTTTTTTATTTTGAGGCAGAATCTCTTGCGGCCATCCTCCCACCTCAGCCTCCTGAATAGCTGGGACTATAGGCATGCACCACCACACCCGGCTAATTTTTTTTATTTTTTGTAGCGATGAGGTCTTGCTGTGTTGCCCAGGCAGGTCTCAAAACTCCTGGGCTCAAGGGATCCTCCCGCTTTGGCCTCCCAAAGTGCTGGGATGACAGGTGTGAGCCACCACTCCCAGCCTGCTGTCTGTCTGATCTTGATACGACCGCCCTGGGTCCCGTCAAGGAGAACCACCCCTACCCTCATATAATCCTCCCGTGTGTGCATGTGTGTATTTGTGTGTGTGCGTGTGCTTGTGTGTATACACATCTGGCCTTATTTAATCCTCACAACCGCTTGACGAGGAAGGGGCTCTTGTTACCTCCAATGTGCAGATAGGGCACTGAGGTTCAGAGAGGTCAAGGTACTCACTATTTAACAGGGGCAGATACTGTCTTTTTTTTGAGTCAGAGTTTCACTGATGCCCAGGCTGGAGTGCAGTGGCATGCTCATGGCCACCGCAGCCTCGACCTGCTGGGCTCAGGCGATTCTTCTACTTCATCTTTCCAAGTAGCTGGAACCACAGGCGCGTGCCACCATGCTCGGCTAATTTTTTGATTTATTATAGAGACGGGGTCTCGCCAACTTGCCCAGGCTGGTCTCAAACCCCTGGGCTCAGGCAATCTACTCACCTCGGCCTTCCAAAGTGCTGGGATTACAGGCATGAGCCACTGTGCCCGGGCATGGTGGCAGAAGCAGATTTCAAGTCGAGTAGGTCTGGCTTTGAAGACCTTTGCTCTTTAAAAAAAAAATTATTATTATTATTATTATTATTTTTTTTTTTTTTAAGAGTTGGGAGTTTCATTCTGTCGCCCAGACTGGAGTGCAGTGGCTGCTCCCGGCCACCACAGCCTCGACCTGCTGGGCTCCGGCGATCCTTCCGCCTCAGCCTTCCGAGTAGCCGGAATCACAGGCGCTCACTACCACGTCCGGCTAATTTTTTGATTTTATTGTAGAGATGAGGTCTCGCCTGCCCAGTCGGGTCTCGAACCCGCGGGCTCAGGCAATCCACTCACCTCAGCCTCCCAAAGGTGCGGGATTACAGGCTGAGCCACCGAGCCCGGCTTATTATTTTTTTTGAGACAGGATTTTGCACTGTCACCCAGGCTGGAATGCAGTGGCGTGATCACTGGTCTCTGCAGTCTCAACTTCCTGGGCTCAAGCGATCCTCCCGTCTCAGCCTCCTGAGTAGCTGAGATTACAGCCATATCTGGCTAATTTTTAAAATTCTCTTTGCTCTTAACAGGACTATAGTGCTGACCGTGGAGTCCTCCAGCCCATGTCCTCATCCTGCAGAGGCACCAGTCACCAGAGAGTATTAAGGACTTGTTGGAATGCAGATTCTTGGGCCTCGCCCAAAGGGCCTTTGGGTTGGCAGCTCCGGGTGAGGTCCAGGAACCTGCATTTTGACTCTGGTGATTCTGACAAGGGCTTTTAGTTCTCTTGATGAGACTTAAGGCCAGGCCGGTGGGCAGGAGGGTCCAGGGCTCACCCTGTGTGTGCTCTGAGGGGAGTGAGGGGTGGGGCGGGGCTTGGCACTGAGGGCACAACTCTGTTCTCCTGAGGCTGTCGTCCTTGGGCCAGGGGTGGATTGGGCCCCCTTCCATCACCCACCAGCTGTGCGGTCTGAGGCCAGCCTCTCCTCACTGTTTCAATTTTCCTCCCAGTGAAATGGGGACAGCAAACCCAGCTGCTCTGAGGCTGGGGGCCAATCCTGCCGCCACCGAGGCTTGGAAGTGCTGAGCTGGTTCCTCTCCTGTGGCCACTGTGGGGGCAGGGCTGGCGAGAGGCCCGTGGCTGGCGGGAGGGGAAGTGGGAGCCTTCTCGCCTACCTAGCCCTACCCGGGGTGCTAGCCACCCTCCTCCAGGGCCCCTTCCTGGGCGGCCTTGCCGTGTGACAGCCCTCCTCTGGCTCTGGAAGCCGTCCCTGCTATTTCAGCCGTTTTCCTGTCTCTATATTGGTCCCCAAAGTGGCACTTTGGGTGTATGGGACACCTGGAGCCTCCCCGGCGGGGGAGATGACCACAGAACTGCCCAGAAATGACCCTCTGGGTGGTCCTGTCCCGATCTGGCTGAGGCAGGGAGCTGGCAGCTGGGCCTCAGCCTCTCCCCGCCACCCCCGCCACCA